ATGTCATTTTACTTTGTAAGACATACCTAGTTTTCACTGGAGTGCTGGTACCTAGGTAAAAGCACCAAGCACTGGTCTGTAAAGTCACGCACGCACAGTCTGTAGCTCCATATATATCAAAGCATTCTGTGCAAACGGAATGGCTTCTTTAGGGGACAGGGAGGGAAATCTAGCTTGGAATATATTACAGCCCAGTTTAAGCATTTCCTGAGAAGCTTGAAGCTTCTTTAGGAGTTGCTTCAGCAACGAGTATCTTCTGACTATTATACGGAGTAAAATTCTGCAATTACTGGTCCAAGTTCCTGTTTACTCCACCAACTGCCATTTCCCCATATGGTCTTCTCCAATTGTTTTGTGAGAAAAATTTTGAGGAGGTTAGGTCGGTCGACTGGTTTTATTTGTTTCCCTAGATGTATGGTCTGACTTGAATTGCCAACGTTTTGGGTAAACCAGAGTGGTGTATGTGTGTATGTGTTCACACTTTTTGGTTATTTTGAAAATGCAATATTTGCGAACAACAATGAAAAATGTTAACTGTATCCTGAAGATGGAACTAAATCAAGGAATACTGGAGCCTACGTTCCTCTGCTGTCAGCAGTAACTTGAAACCTGCTGGCAAAGTGTGTTTTTTTTATCTGCTGCTGGTGCATATGAAGACAGCTGCCTACTACTGCTACTATCACTGTTGGCTCAAGTGGCAGATGTCTATGTTATGTTTGTTTTTAAAAGTCTGAAATCTACTGTCAAAATCTGTGGGCAATGGAATACCATTCCTCTTCTACACTGAATGATGGGAGAGCCTGATGGAAAAATAGTGTATTGCACTAAAGTTAAAAGCAACCTAATATGTAGTGCAAAGGGTAGAGCTCGTAATGTCCTGTTTTGTTTCAAATTGATTAACATAAATATACATGCACACTCATATCTTTATCATTTTGGCTATCAAAAGTCAAGCTTTCAATGTTGCGTATACTTAAACATTCATTTTAAGTACTGTTATATTTGTAGGCTTAGAGCCTTCCTATAATTGAATGGTATTCCAGAATATTTTGTTTGAGATAGTCTGCCATGGAAGTAAATTATTATTTGAATTGCTATGTATTGTCTGTAGGACAGCTGTTGTACCATAAATAAGTAAATAATGATGTTGTTAGTAACATTTTGCACAGAAAAAGAAGTTATGAAAAAAATGTTGAAAATTTGCTAACTTGTGGATCTATACAGATAACTATAAAGTAAACATTAAATATGAGCTCAGAGATATTAGAAGGAATTAAACTGGATAAATGGGTGGTATTTTAGACAAGTGTTAATATAGGTAGCATTAAAGCAGTGCTGATTTGACTCCATCCTTTTTTTTTGCAATGTCAGTTCTAGCACTTCTGACTGCATGGTATGTAACTTTGCCCTGATTGATTACAATTTGAATCAGCAGTAAGCCACCTGAGCATGGTCAGTGGGATCTCTTATTAGAAACTAGAAATTTTGCTAGTGTTTTTATATATTTTGCGATGTACGTTGTAGAGAGACCTGTCAGAATAATACCTGACTTTTCATACTGAAAAGAGGGATGAGCTGAAATTCATAGTTATGAAGTGTAGATATTCAGCTAGCTAATTTTAACATGAAACACATGGAGCTTTGAAAATGAAAATTATGGCCTTGAACTGAACTTTCTTTAAATAAAAGATGTAATATTGTGAAATGTATAATCTCTAGGTGGTAAGGGTAAGGTCTTGTGGAGAAATGCTTAGTGAACTCAACATACTTAGCCTAGATAACAGGGAGACATAACAACAGTATGTAACCTCTACGGTATTTTGTGGCAGTAGCTAGAAGCATATGCAGAGAGTTTGGAATGCATTCTTTAGATATGAATTAGAAACAAGATTAGGATAAATTTTGATTAGATAACAGAAATGCACTGATCTAACAGTTGCAGAGCGTTTGAGTTTGGCATTGGACTAGGTTTTTGGCCTGCAGGATGAAAGGTTTGAGTACTCTGGAGAGTTAGCTGGCTTTGTAGCTGGAATTTGGCTGGACGGTATTCAGCAGATAATGTGGTCACAATCTGATGGGAGAAGGACAATATCTTGCATATCTCTCTACTGTGAACCTCCACTCCTTTCCTCACAACCAAAATAAAAGTAGCAGTGGAGTTTGGAGAGTGTATAATGGATAATGCCATTTAATCTTTCAAAAGCCTGATGCAGTTGTTAAATTCTGATTCTTCTCAGTATCACAGTGCTGTTAGACTAAAGGGTCTGTGGTATTTGGGAGAGTGAGTTGTGGGATGGTGGGTGGGAGAGGTAGATAAGTCTTTCTTAGCTAATTTCTCATTCCCTAGTAAGATCAGATCAGCTGGGGTGTTCTGATTTGTCTGTGATGGGCTCTGTCCCAAGGTTACACTAAAGGTGCTGGTACCTCTGCCTCAAGGTGTGAGCTGTCAAACTTTACATCCCAGTACAGTCACCTGCTAGAACCCCCCAGCTTCTCATCGCATGTACCCAAGCTCTGCTCTGCACCTGCTCCTCACCAGGGAGGGCGAGAAGTGCCCTTAGCTCATCAGGGGAAGGGAGGGCGCAGTGGGAGCAGAAGGGCTACGCATAGAGGGTTATTGCATTGTGTCCTGTGGCATTATGAGAGTTTTTTTAAAGGCAAATAGAATAGGCTGAAATGTAAGTTTTCTTTTAATCTTCTTTAGGAGATGGGAAGAAGAGTAGCTGGGAACAACAAAGGAGATTTAGTTCTCAGTGCCTTGAATTATGGATTGAACCACAGACAGTAGGCTCCACTATCTCTCAGAAAGCAGAAATAGGGGATGGACAGCACTGACCTTTGTTCAGTCCTTCAGGATCCATCGTTATGTCCGTAACTTCTTTAAGGGCAGGCTCTAATCAGGCACAAGTGATACACATTTAGAGTTTTCCCAGTATGTAAAACGTACTTAGCTTCCTGTGCGTGAAAGAACAATAGCAAAGGGACACTGATGAACATCGTTTGAGATTTAAAACAGGCCAGTGGATGGGTGTAACTCTTGGGACCCGAAGAAAGTAGGGCAGGATGTAGTTGCAGATAACGTCCCTGCTGCCAGAGCTGCCTTCCACCTCTTTGTTTGTGCTTAATTTTAATGTACCTCTCCAGTGCTGTAAGATCAGTTGCAGCATTATTATTCTTTAGATAAAGCTTTTCTGAACTTTTAGGAAAGATGGCATTAATATAGCTCCCTTGCTGTTTAACAATGCCCTTTTCTTCCCCTGGAAAAAAAGATTTAGGCCACTGTAGTTTCTTTATGTCATTGAGATGATTCATTTGGGCCATGGGAGGAGAATGACAGTTACTTGCTACGCAGACTTTTCCTGTGATTCATGGAGTACCATTTGTATCAGCCTTGAAGGAGGCACTTCATATGCTTCCTAGCAGGAAGGAAAAAGAGCATGATCAGAGCTACCAGATAGGTTACGGAAACTCGGTGCGGGGGGAAGGGGAGAGGGAAACGATTATTCAGAAGAAAGTTGCAAGGATGCCAAGATTCTGTCTGCGTTACCCGTTCATCTACTTAATGAAAAATGGATGTGTACCAAGCGTATATATAATTAAGGGAAACATCGTGACTGTAATTGCCATGTTCACAAAATAGTATGGCTTATTATATAACTTTTTTGTGTAAATATATCTTAGAGCTTTTCCTTCTGTCTCCTGAAACCGTCAGTGTTTCATGTGGTACAAAACTTCTATCCCTGAGTGATGTGTTTCAGCAACAGTTTCAGGTTTTGCTCTTAAGCAAAGGCGGCCGTGCACAGTGCTTTATGTTAGCTTTCTGCAGGGACGGATTTTTGTGCTCTAACATACTAATACAATTAGCAACTTACAAAGTGCACCAGCCTGCCAGATAGGAAGGCATTTTCCTTTCTTTACAATGAAGTAGTTTGAAAAGCTATACTGTGATTTTTTTCCTAAAAATAACAGCACAGATTGGCTACTTAATCTGCTCATAAAGAGAAATGCTCCTTTAGATGAGTCTCCCTATGTCTGCATTACAGATTTGGGGGGCTCTTTCACTGCTTCCAGCTGCTTCCAGCTCCTTTCCCTATAGGTAGAACTTACAGGGTGGGAATAAATGGGAGCGGAAGAAATGAAGATTTCCGAATTCCTTAATTTCATCAGTGGGTTGGGGGATTGTTGCTGTCTGTCCTCCCACAGTTGGCCATATTTGGTGTCGTACGTGCACCTGTGTCAGGAGATAGAGCTGTGGCTGTTTAGCCCTGGAGCATGTATGAAGAGTCTTTATCTGGCTGACTGCATGCATAGCAAAGTTAGAATGGGAAAGTAGTGGTGTAACTGGAGATGGAAGGAGTGAAAGTAGGAGCAATGCAGAAAAGAATAAAAATGGATGTGAATTACTAATCACGTGCCCTGTATTCATTGATTTTTCACTGGCAATTAAAATTTTACTGTTTGATTCACCAATACTATTCAATCTTCCATTATTTCCTGGATTGTAAAATTCTGGCTCTGTTTTGATTTGGCAATAAATATGTTTATTGGGGGGGAAGGGTCTAATTATAGCTTTGAACTGTACTGTAGTGAGAGAGCATTTAAGTTGCTTCTGAATATTTCTGAGGCAGTGTGATGAGTCATGAAATACAACTTTTGCAGAAAATACCCTGATTGCCTAATGACTAGGTGTTGGTAGATGAAATTACATACACACTCTCTTGTTCACATGAAACCAGGGAAGTGTCTTTCTGAGTAAGCTGTTTGTTCAAGTTACCCAAGAAATGTCAAGGTTTATGGTTGCAAAATAGGTAAGAGGTATATGTTTGAGGAGCTTGAAAACACCTGCTGTTCCTTACAGATGCTGAAATACAGTTACTGTATTTTCATTCACAATGTAAGAAATTCATAGCATTAATATTTGTTTCCATACCTGTAAAGGAAAAATGCTGCCTAAAGCTAATGCAATTGATCATCTATGTACAAAATATTTTGTTTTGCAGATGATGTAGAGGAGGTTAACAGTATGGAAAACGTGATGTTAGAATATGCTGCAATGGACAGAGAACTTAATCATTATATGAGAGCAATTGAAGAAACAGTCAGTCAGGTAAACTGTCACTGCTGTTTAAGTTATCTACTATATATTCTTATTTAAATGTTATCTTTTAATTGCTAATTACACAATGTTACATTAAAATAATATATTGTTGGACAAACTAGATGTTTTAAAAGGTAAAATACTAAGGTTGCCCATACAGCTGTAACTTTGCTTCTCAGTATGCGTGCATTGTGATACAGTTTCTAATTACATGTTCAGTATTATTTTCCACAAAACTGCTGCACCAGTCAGGATATAGATGATTAGTGCTTTAGGAATGAATGGGGACTGTGTAGTTAACACAGCAGTCTCAGATGATACCTGCTTCATGTGTTGTGGATGATGGAAGCTGCGTAATGAATGAGGCAGCTGGTTTCGGGGATGAACAAGTGGTTGCAGTAGCAGTGGAACTAATGAAGCCTGGTTTCCAGTGTCTTTTTCCACATGAATTTGCTGATGCTTAATAAAGGGTGAGCTTGTGAACTGTTCATTCAATTAATCAGGGTCTCATTTGCTACCTGACCGCTCATTTTTGCAAGTCTTGTGGCAACTCGATGTTTGGAGTGGGTTTCTGGTTCGGCGTTGAACGTGATTGCAGTCGCCGGAGCGATTAGGATGACACAGACACAGGCGCAAGTTGCATAAGCTCCTTTTCATCAGCAAACCAGGCTGAACAGAGGATGCCACGGGTTAGGTTGCAGAACACAAGTTTTCAGAGGGGTTTTTCCTCTTCCTGCCTCTTTCAGACAGAAAGCGGTATCAAACAAAATCCCGTTCGTTTACGTATTTGCGCTCAGCGAACCTAAGAGCGGGGACTGGTGGAGGGGGAATGGCGGCCGGGCCGGCCGGCGCTGGCCGCCAGCCGCCGTCCTCCTCCCGCTGACTTCACCCTGCTGTTCCCACCCTGCTACTCTTCTTCCTGATTATCATCCTGTCCGCGCCCTTTGATTCTCTGTCCCTGCCTCTCTGACTCTGTATAATCGACTTAGCTGGGTAACCTTGTTGTCATCCTGATTGCACTACGTCGCTGCCCCCCCCGCCCCCCTTTTTTCCCTCTTCTCATTGTATCAGGCTGTCTCCAAACCATTCTCTTAGCACAGCTCCTTATTCTTTTTGCTTGCTGATCATCACTGCCTGGCTATCAGCAAGTGAAATATTGATAGCACAGGCTCCATGGCAGATGAAAATACTGAAAAAATCAATTTCAATGCAGTCTACTCAATCCTTACCTTCTTTTGGGCTGCATCATGCTTGGAGTACTTAACTCTCTAAATAACCTATCTTAGTATTTGCAGATAGAGTTTTAGGTGTCAATATTGTATGGATTTTTCTAGAGAAAGTAAAGGTGCATCCCTGATGGCCCTTCAAGATATAAAATCTATGTTTCAGTGCACAAAGACAGTAGAACTTTTCAATTAAACTTGTTTTTATTTTATTTTAAAAACAAAAGCAGGAGAGCAGAGCAATGCATTTTTCCTCTAGTTTAAATCTGAGAAACAATGACATTTTTATTTTGTAAACTGGTTTGCCTTTAATGAGTTTTAAGTATCATCCTGAATCAGATGCTTAACCTGAAAAGTTTTCATCCAAATAGTTAAATATCATATGCTTAGAAGGAGCTGAAAACTATGTCTACGCTGGCAAATGCTGGCCAGCATTAAATATGTTCTCTATGCAGTCTCTAAATACACATTTCAGTTCACATCGCGCCATAATTGCAGAGCTCGTAGCTTATATTTGGCAGATCAGTCAGAAGTTTTTCCTTTTGCTTAAAGTATTCATTATTTTTAAAGCCTTACCAGTAAAATCTAATTTAGTCATCACATCATTAGAGATTAATGATGTATATCAGGACTTAAGTGAAACATAGGTGGTATATGTATTTTTTGTAAGTTATTAACTAGTCAATGTGTTATTGTTGTAACTTTCTTTAAAAGGAATTTCAAGACAATTTCAACAATATCACTTCTCTCATTATCCCTGTACGTCAACAAAACACATCACTTTATGCATGACTTAAGTGTACAAAGAGTAAACCTCTCCCTTCGTCAGCAAAGCACTCAAATCCTGTATACTTCAGATGCATTTACTCATGCTCTTTAAATTAAGCACAGGCTTAACTGCTTGGCTGTAGTGGAGGTATTTTTGTTTGGCTTCAGTGGGGCATTGATACATTCATGATTTTTAGGACTGGATTCAGCAGTATCTGTCTTGTGTACAAAAATAAAGTCCTGGAGGTTGTTTTTTTTTTTTTTTCCTATTTGCTTTCTATTTTTAATTTAGCACATTTATGTTGTGTCAGAGACCCTTCCTTGTTTGGCTAAAACAATCTCCTTCTCTGTTTTTTCTTTCCAAAGCCTTTAAGAATGAAGCTCCAAGACATGCAACAAATTAAAGAGACTAGATGCATTAACAAAAACCAGTAATGGCTAATCAGCCACACTTCTCCCATCCCTTTTTCCTACCTCACTGTAGGGAATTTTCTGTACTTTCCACTGCCAGCACCCTGCACAAATCTTTTTGAATAAGATGAAGACATGTATATAAGGTTCTGCAGCAGAACAAAGATACAAAACTATTCACCAAGAGTAAAAGCTAGTAAGCTAATGCTTTAGGGGGGATAGCTGTGTATACTGCCTCTAGAACTACATACTATGTCTCCATTTACCTGTCAGAGACCAACTTAAAATCTGCTTCAGGAAACAGAGATACTATTACTGAGTTGAGGAGCGCTGCATGTGGAGGCAGCTGTAGAAAAGCTTGTGTTTAAAATAGCTTCCGCTGACTTGCTCCCTGGATCTAGCCGAATCCTTTACCTGAGGGCTTTCTCTGGGAAGTTGCAGCAGATCATTCATTTTCACAAGCCAACTCTTTTCATCTACAATATTAACAATATTTTTTCAAGCTGAAAAACACACTTTATTTGATTATTTTGTGAATTTATCTTTTTTTCCCCTGGTCTTTTAGTTTTTTCATACAGCAGTGAATCTCAAAGTAGGTTGTAGTCTGCATTTCACCTTCTTATCACCTGTTTGTAATGAATGTCCCACTGTAAGTTAACAAGATAAGGATAGCTTGCCCTCTCTGTGCAAACAGCATCAGTTAGAACTCTTGATTTATTATTTTATTATGTATACATTTAAGTGACATTGACAAAATGTTGATATTGTGCAACAGAGGTATGTAATATAAATAACAAGGAAGTAGTGTGAAGTATAGTTACATGCTTTTAAAAAAACAAGTTTTTGTTGATTTAGGCTGCAGTTGGCGGAATGCAGAAGATGAAACATATCAGCATCCTCTTCTGGTTGAATCATCAGCCTTGTTGAGTAAGAAATGAGCAATTGAATCACAGTGTTTCCAGCAATAGGCTGTGGGAAATCCTTTGTCTGTGGAAACTCCCTGTGCCACTGGATTTTCTTGTACCTGTGTAATGACTGGACTCCTACTGCTGTTGCTTTTTTCATTTGTAACGGGTATTTTTTAAATATATTAGCCAATATTTGGATGCTCTCCATGTGAAGTCCAGACAGCACTCTTATTTTTAGTGTACCAACAACAACAAAGTGACTGAGAATGCTGGATTATCTCTTACTGACTTCTTTATAGTCTTGAAGTGGACCCAAGTGACGGGGACTCACCAGGCTGACCTGGCCTGCTCAAACGTCCCCTGCTCTGGGAGAGCTCTCAGCTGGCAGAGGGCCAACATACTCTGCCTGCTCACTATCTTCCACTCTGCTTTCTAGATTTGAAGAGGGTGTCAATAGACTTTGATTGCTATCTCTGCTTTTCAAGCATTTGGCTTGTTTCAGGCTATAAAAGCTGGAATAAATTTTGTGAAGTCCACAGATTTTTTCTAAGTAAAATAAATCTCAAGGTATTGTAGATCTATCTAGAGAACAAGGAAGTCCTAACAAGCTGTATTATGCTGCATTAGTCCTGCCTCTCCTTTGCTCTGCAGCACCCCAAGTCTCATTATCTTCCTTGAATTTAGCAGGGAAGAGAATCTGGACTTTTTTTTTTTTGCCGATGAGAGAGGGAAGCGTTGAGTTTCATAGTGGCATTGGCAATAAAGGAATAAAGGTTGCTTAGTACTTTCTGTTGTAGGTTACCACTTTGCTAAACTTAACTCCTTATTTTGCTTGTATTCTGTCTGCCTTCTGCTAAGCCTGAGCACTGAGAGGGAAGATGAGGACTAAACCTGAATGAGAGAAAGAAAAGCATAGGAGATATGCTTAAGAAGCATTTGTAATAATAATTTAATAATAATAATAATGGAAAAGGAAAAGGAAGGGCTTGGAAGGTCATGAAGTCGTATAGGCAGGCACACATGGGGAAGAGACTGGCTGATATAGTGCTAGGAGGTGGTGTTTTGCTGGAACAAAGAGAGGGGACTATTACAAGTTGCCTTGATGCTTAGGTATTGTCCCTACTTCTGCTACAGCTTTCCCATGCCATTTGAGGTGAGTCATTTGTATGAAAATGTCAGAGGCTGCTGACGTCTTCTTTATTTTCTGGTTATCATACATGGAAACTAACTTGAGCACTTACAACTGCAGCTCAAGGGTCAAAGCAAGGGTAATTATAGTTTGAACACATGAAGTTTAATAAAACTGTTCTCTAGCTTTTTTTTTTTTTTTAAATCTGTAAAAGTACATGCAGTTGATGTAGTTGTGCATCTCGCGTAGGAATTGAGAAGTCTGGAAAGGGTCATTCATGCATGTGTGACTTCACAATTTGTCAAGTGCTCAGTGTTCTCTTCTTGGCAAAGATGAGGAATGCACCTTACACAAGAGTAGTTTTGTTTCTACAAAAGATACAGGAACTAGTCTTACATTTATTTCTGGTTTTGATAGAAGTTCCCTTTTAGCCTGCTAAGTTCATTGGGCAGGGTGTGGTAGGAGATGTTTGCTTTGTCAATAATTTAGAGCAGGATACTTGGTACTGGAGGTCTGCTGTCTTCATGGCCAAGTATATACATTTTAATCCTATAGAGGAATAATTCCTTT